TTGTGTCTGTCCCTGAAATCTTCTATGGCTGTAGGGCCTACTCCTTCTAGGATGCAGACGGGCTTCCCGCATCGAGGAATTGCTCCAGAAGGTTCCGGGAAAAGTCCATCAATTATGCCGCTATATCCTGAAATTGGAATTCTTTCAAAATTGCTCTCAGGCAAGTTCGTAGTATGGGGAGACAATGGCGAGGCTCATGTGAGATTTAGAAAACGGGAAACTTGCGGCTGTGTATCCATTGGGGTCAGCAAGTGGAGTACAGTCGGCTGGGAGCTCGTTCTCTGCTGGTTGTTCGTTTTCCCGAGATGTTGGTCGGGGCTGCAGAACCATACAGGGTTAAAATGAAATGACAACGTGATTACAATAGCGATGCTTGATTGACATTTTGAAAAGATTTATGGTTACTGAGAATAGATGGTTCAGAAACCGAGTGTTTGATTGAGGGTAAAAAATCAAAAAGCTGCGTTTTTCGTTGCATAAACAATTATAACCGAACTGGTAAACGTGGTCCATATAATCTAAAATCAGCACAATATAGCCAAAGGTTTTTCCTACATAAAAGTTACCAACGCTTTATAAATACATCAGAACAGAAATTTGTAAAATTCGGGAAAGATTTGGCGTTACTGCCGAGCTGCTCAAAAGCCATGGCGATAACTTCGCAAAAACAGAGTAGAACAGAGAGCAAATGCAATGTAAGAAAGAGGATAAGAATCTGAAGCAAATGGTATGTAAGTCATCCATGGATTGGTGTTCAGCAAGTTTTAGTCAGCGATGAAAAAACGGACAAAACTTTCGGGACAGCCCAATATTCCAAAATCGCAAGGACTTCAGAAAAGTCGTTTTTTCTGGATTTTTTATGGTAAATTCGTTATTTTCCGAAGTAAAGCACATGGAAGGCTGAAACTTATTGTGGTATACACAAAGGTTCATACTATAGACTATGTTTGTGTGATAGCAGCCCAGCATAGCTTTTACGAAATCATGGGAATTTTTATTTTTTCGATTTCTAGCAATGGAAAAAATACAGCGATTGTATATATATCTGATGTGCAGACTTATACGCTAGAGCATGTTGGTTCGTAGAATTTTTTTGGACGAAGATTTCATTTTTTTTTCAATTTTTTGGACATCTGTATATTTTTAGATCTGGAATTCAATATTTGTGTGGATAACACTTTAGGTGAACGTTTAAAGCCATCTTGCAGAGATTGCTTTGCTCTACCGAAAGGTATCCCGACTGCACGAGAAATTTATGAAGGAATGGCTTATGGCAATAAAGAGAATCAAGTGTGATCGTCTCCACGATTTGTGTAGAGGCGGGTTGCGGACTTCCCTGATTTTGGATGAACTTGTGAAACCTCCACGTCACTCTCGCTATCAAAATCGCCACGCTTTGAGCTGGCAAAATCCTTCCTTCACACGAATATTGGAGTCGATGATACGAAAAGACTTGAGTTCTTGCCCGTTAAAAAAACATAACTTCTTCATAGTCTGATGGATTTTGGAGGTAAATTTGTTTTAAAGCACAAATTAAGCTCTTTACAGCAGCTGATCTTCGGTGAATTAGTATGAGAAAGTTTGAGAGATAGGGCAATTGAATGAAATTACTAAATTTTCATTTCATTAAGGCCTAATGCATACCTCCCGCGATTTCAGTCGCCACGCGATTTCCAGCTCAGATATAAGTTCCGAGTCCGCCGCGCCGGCGCGCCTAACTGTGTGGTCCCGCCGCATTTGTGTTAGACTGACGCCGCGACGAAACGCGGGCCATTTTTGGACGGGCATACTTTCGCCAACGATATCTTCGCGATATCGTTGAAATTGAGCGATGTCGCGTCGCTGGTGCTGCACCAGCGACGGGGCATATCGCGCAAATGGCTTCTTCTTTGTGGAAAGTTTTGTATTTTTTTGCAGATGCGAATCTCATTTTGGTCTTTCCATCTCACACAATCGCTTCCTCTCTACATGAAAGAAGGTTGACCATCGAGTATTCCATACTATTTATCCTTGAAAACAACACATGCGAAGTGTATAGTATGGAATGCCTTCACGTATGTCACCTCACCCTTTTTGTTAGCATTGTTCTCGCAATGCGCTAATTCTACTGTTCTTGTTCAAATAACAACTAAATGATGACCGAATGTTTTCGCCATAATTCCTGAAGTAGAGTAGATGTGCAATCTTGGTTGCTTTAGCATGTATGATGATCGTTCGCAGATTGGCAGACAAGAGCTCGCGCAGCACTCGTTGTTAAAATATGAACCAAAGTTTTTTTACACGGCCGAAAGCACACCCTTTCTGTTACGAAGCTAACGTATATGCCTACCGGTGACTGAAAGAGTGAACTCAAAATTTTATGAATTGTAGTCGATTTCATCGCAGATGTTAACTTGCGCCGGTACAAAAACCTTGGTAAATACGAAGATAAGCGTGAATCCATATCCTTGTTCGTTTGCTGTAATATTCTTTGAAAGCATATGGTGCCACATTCTGTTCAAATTTTCTTGAAAGATGCAATTGAGACAAACTAGAGCAAATTTTCTAAAAGTGCGTAAAATGCGGTATGGTGTGTGAGCGTTCAAACAATCGCAAGAAGGTATGGCCTGTGAGCGAGCAATAAGCGATTTCTACGCAATGATTCGTCGCCAAGGAGCTGATTCGGAGCGACCAAAAATTGTGACGACGGTGTCACGACGAGGTATGCCTTAGGCCTTAGACTGACGCTGCGACAAATCGCGGCCAGTTTTGAACGGCATACCTTCAGCAGGGAAGTCGTGCTGACGACGGCGACATCGCTGGAACTCAGCGATGTGCCGTCGCTAGTTCCGTACTAGCGATGGGCGAATCGCTCGGATGGCCTCTTCTTTGTGAAAAGTTCTGTACTTTTTTGCAAATGCGAATCTCATTAATACTCATTTTCACACAAGCGCTTCCTCTCTGCATGAGAGAATGTAGGTCATTTAACATTCCATACTATAAATCCTTGAAAACCACATGCGAAGTATATAGTATGGAATGCTTCTCATATGTCACCTCATCCACGTGTTAGCATCTACTGTCCTGGCAATGCATTATATTCTCCTGTTCTTGTTTATTAATAACATGTAAATGGTGACCAAATCTCGAGTTTTCTCGTTATAATTCCTAAAGTAGAATAGATGTCCAATCTCGGTTGCTTGTAACAGCACTCGTTGTTGAAATATGCCTTCCCAAAGTTTTATAGGGCCGAAAGCATGGCCTTTCTGTTACGAAGCTAACATATGCTTACCGGTAGCTGAAAGGGTGAACTCAAAACTTTTTGAACTGTAGTCGATTTCATCGCAGATGTTAACTTGCGCCGGTATAAAAACCTTGGTAAATACGAAGATGAGGTTGAATCCATATCCTTGCTCGTTTGCTATCATGTTCTCTAAAAGCGTATGACGCCACATTCTATACAAAGTTTTTTGAATAAATGCACTTCAGACAAACAAGCGCAAATTTTTCAAAGGTGCGTATAATGCGGTGCGGTGTGTGAATGTCTACGAAATCGCTCTGGGTATGTCCGGTGCAATCACGCAATGAACGGTCGCTCAGGCAGTCTAGTCGCAGCGATCGAAAATCGTAACGACGGGATCGCTGAGGTATGCCTTAGGCCTGAATGCATTTTTCAAGCAGGGCAAATAAAGAGAATTTCTTTAGTTTGGCAATCTTTGAGAATGCTCAAAGCTTGGCAGTTGAGATCATAGATTTGGTCGGCCTAAGATGTTTTCAACTTTCTGAACACTAAAATGGTACCATACTCAAGAATTGAATCGACTCAGAATGTTTTTTTTTGCTTTTTTGTTATATTAGGTATCGGCTTCCAGATTCATGTGGAGGTGGAGTCTTCCAACTCACCGCGTGGCGGTTTTTGCTAGCGAGAGAGTACGAAAAGCAATACTTTGAAGTGGAGGTTCAACAAGTTTACCTGTATCATCACGCAAAGTCTGCAATACTCCTCCACACGAATCTGGAAAGCGACCATACCTCAGATTTTTTCGCTTTTTTATTGCTATATTTTGTTATGTTGATTGAACAAGGGTTTCCCTACTGACTTTTACGTCAAAAGGTACTACGTAAATTTTTGCGAATTCATGGAGGACTTCGTTTCCAGAAATGCTCCAAACCAACGCGTGCCGGGCCCTGGTTCTTAGTGAAGGACGGTGTGAATAAATACTTACGGATAGGTTATACGGCGTGAAATTTAGATATCTGGAGCTTCAAGATATGAGGCTTATTTTATAAGCAGCGTCCCGCAAAAAGACTGGTGCCGGGTTTTTGTGGCGATGTTGATGTAGACCCCCTACCTAAGCAACGACTGAAGTTTGTGGCGAAAAAGGAGTCCATCAAGCTTTGAATTCGCTCCGAAAGTGGACCGAATCTCACGGTAGGCCCGAATGCCGCCCGCACAGCAATTTCGAACTGCAAGACTGGAGCACGCATAACGCACACAGTCATGAATGCAGGGTCGACTCTGCGTTACTATTTGCACGCATTTCGTACTTGCCCGAGCCAACCGTAGGATCCGAATCACTTTCGAGGCAAATTTCGGCTTGGTAGACCCCCTTTTTCTCTCCGAACTTCTGTAATCGCTTGGGGGTTCACTTCAACATCGCCACAAACCCGGCACGTATCTTTTTGCCGGCACGCTGCCTTTACGTGGCTTCTTTGCCTCAAAAGTTTTGTCGAAATGTGCATGAAAAAACCCTCTTGAACAGAGTTCCGATAATTGTGGGCTTTTAGGGATTTATAAGCAACTGAGAGAATTGGTAAGTGAGAATGGTGTCAGATTTGAGCTGACCATTAAGGATCACGCAAGATAGGACATAGAGAGTAAAGGAGAAAAAGCTACGGTCCGCTATGGCAGCAGGCACGCAATTGGATTGTTGTTTGTATGAGATTTCTGGTATCGTAAAGCTAGAGTCCTCATAAAATCACTATAACGCGAGTAAGAAGCAGAAAAATGTTTATTTCAGAACAACGGCCGGATGTATTCCATAAGACAATGTTGATGTGCATACAGTCAAGTCCGAAACTAAACGAAATCATCGCCTGCCAAATGTATTGTTATCGGGACCTGACAAAATGGCCCAAACTCAATAAGCTGAGGTGAGATCAGCGTCTATACCAATACAGTACTTATATAAATTCTTTGCATGTTCTCTGAAATGATAGAAAGTATAACGAGATTTGGACCAAACTCACACATGAAAATTTGGGGCAAGGCATAGGTTGATAAGCTTACGATATCGACCAAACTCACCCTTGAAAACTTGGGGCGAGGCATAGTTCGATAAGCTATCTGGAGGTGGTGCAGGAGGAACCAAAGCCCTTGCCGCCTGTATCCAAAGGGGAATGGGTAAGGCAGAGGAGGCTCCGCCCATCGCTCCGCCCACGAGATGCTCCCATTGTGTGTTGAGCAAGAATGGTGGATGGACTACCAGATATTGATCAAATCTGATGGATTAAGAGGTTAAACTATGAATTGGAACTTGAAATATGGACAGTAAAGTTTCTCAAACAGGTTTTCAGGTACCGGATAATAATAAAAATAGTATCATGTCATAAACCTAATATATAAATAGAGTAACCATCTTTCTAAGAGTCAATATATGGAACACCACTATCATTAAATTGTTTTTAAATTTTGTTCAGAATCGAAATGATGATACAAAGCCTAGAAAATGACCAAAAAGAAGATTGATTCAAAGCAGGGGGACATAAGCCGAAAATGAAGTTTCAGAGTGGTTCTAATAATAACTTTAACAAAGAGACTAAGAAATCTTCTGGATACTCAGATCCAAGAATGACGTAAAATGCAAATGCAAACATCTTATGCCTTGAGAGGAGGCTCAGTAAAGCTTCACCTCTTGAAGCATGACTTTTCAACGGCTTTCTCGCGAATTTTTCTCACCCTTTCCCTCCCCTTTCCCACTCCCCAAGTAAAATACTTTGAAGTTAACAAAGAATAAAGTACTTGAATTATGACTTTCTTGGCTCATCAGAGGACTGGCTTGATCCTGCAAAGGTCAAATAATCGGCTATCGATTGGCTCAAATGCAACTAACGCTGTGACTATCGTAAAAGATTGAGAAAATTAGCTCAGGAAAATAAATTGCAATATAGAGTAAGTTTTCCGCGAAGCCATTTATAGGAGTTCAGAAAAATTTCCGAAGCTTTTACCCCTCTAAAAAATTTTTCATCAATTCCAATCTTCAAAAGAATGATGAATTGCATTGATGTGAATTCATACAAAAGTTCATTCAAAAGATTCGCCTTTCAAAACTAGCCACAAATTTGTTTTCCCCTTCTCTGTATCTCCACTCGAAGTCTTTTAAATTAGACTTTTCCTTCCGCGAATTCCTGAGCAAAAAAGGCAAAACCCAGGCTCAGCGCGCGGGGCGGAGCTTGGAGGGTTGCCAGATCCTTCTTGGCATGCAGCCAGCTCCTCCCCTTTCTCTCTTGGATACAGGGGTCAAGAGCTCTGGTTCCTCCTGCACCGCCGCCAGCTATCTTATATACAGGGGGTTCCAAAAGTAAGTACACACTTTTTCGCCAATATCTCTTTTCCCAATGGGTCTTTTTTTGCCAGACAAGTACCATTCTGTAGAAGAGGTTTCAACTTAGAGTTGCAGTATCGAGCGATTCACCGGTCACTCTTCTTACTGTAGGATTACGGTAAGAACCTCCAGCAAGTGGAACCGTTGTGAATTATGCCTTTTGACAAAAAATTTTTCAAAACATTTGAAAAATCGTGCACTAAGATTTTCGCGCACGTTGGTTCCACTACACAACAGTATTTTCAGTTTTCTGACGGTGTAATCACATTTTTGAGAAATACTGGGAATTCGGTCATTACGGTTTATCTGGGATAACTTTGGAAAGCATCGTCACAATGAAGTGGAAATTTCATACTCAAAATCAGCGGCTTCCATTACCATAGTATAAGGGTTTATGGCTTGTTTGATTTTGTTCCGAGGCAGAATTTGGCTTCCAATGGCCTAAAATCCTTGTCAAAATTCCTACAGTAATCCTACAGTAATAAAGAGCGATTGGTGGTTCTCTTGATACTGCAAATCTAAGTTGAAGCCTCCTCTACAGAATGGTACTTAATTGACGGAAAAAGACACAATGGGGAGAAAGATATTAACGATTGAAAAGTGTGTACTTACTCTTGGGACACCCTGTTAAATATGAATGTCTGTCTGTATGTATGTACTTATGTGCGAAATAGAAATTTTTATTTCTGAACCGATTTGGACTAAACTTGGCACACATACACTTCGGGGCAGGGGAGCGTGTCGTAGGCTACGTCGTTATCGATCGATATCGATTTTATCGATTTTCTGCAAAGCTACGGGGCTGGGAGTTGGCACGGGGGGTAATCGAGCATGCTGATTACGAATACAATATTTTCTGGTATCACCTATCACTTTTCTCGATTTTTATCGATTTTTTGCAAAATTTGAGCTGAAGGGCTGGGAGTTGGCACAGGGGGGTAAGTGGGCATGCTGATTTCGAAAACAACATAGGAAACGGGAAATGAAGTAGAAGTGGACACAAGGAGAGGCTGTACAGGGATAGGGATGGGACCTTGATTACAGTGTTTTAACAGGGCGGAGCCGGGTAAGCAAGCTAGTTTCTTTAAAAATCACTTATAGGTTTCATCGACTTATTGGTTTTTCGCTTACTTCGCTTAGCGTTCCTTCTACGACTCATCTGAGATGACAGAACGAGGAATCTCCAAAGTTTGCCAACCTAAAACTTGAGGCGAGACGGATGTTAACATGCTGGCGAGCGAGCTATTTTGGGCGAAACTCTCGCTAATGCTTTTCGCGCATTTGGCGCGTACATACGCGTGTATGCACGAAGTCATTATGTGGACCTTTTTGGCGTTTATCCATATAACATGCAAAGTTTTGGCGTTTATCCATATAACATGCAAAGTTCTTTCGGAGATACATTTAATTCACACTCTTTCCAGGAATTCTCATATATGGAGCTAAATGTCTTGTCTGTGTCTGTATGTATGTATGTATGTATGTATGTATGTATGTATGCCTGCCTGCCTGCCTGTCTGTCTGTTTGTCTATATGTCTGTGTCTGTCTATCTGTCTGTCTGTATGTATGTATGTATGCCTGCCTGCCTGCCTGTCTGTTTATCTGTATGTCTGTGTCTGTCTGTTTGTCTGTCAGTCTGTCTGTCTGTCTGCCTGTCTGCCTGCCTGCCTATCTGTGTCGTATGTTCCGAAAAAAAATTCCATCTCTAAAACAATCCGGACCAAACTTGGCACGCTACACTTCGGGGTGAGCTACTGCCCAGATAATCGCCGATGGCAGGCGGTCCGCAAACTCGTGCTTTTCTGCAAGCGGTCAGCAAAATATTGGGGCGTGGCCAAACCTTCAGCGAGCGGTACTTCCGTGTTCTGCCAGCGGGCAACAATACAAAATTTTTTGCAAGCGCTCGTCAAATAATTTCTTTAAGCGAGCGCTGGCCAAACTTTCAGCAGACGCTCGGACTCTTTTTACGCAGTTTCGGGCGTACGCCGAGCAAAGGTGAGGCTCTCTGTGGCAGAGGTGTCATCGATTGGTAATTACCGGAGTTTGGAGTACATCCTCTCAGCGGAAGGTACCTAAGGGCTGTGCGGTTCTTCATAAAGGACCGTGCGGCCCTCAACAATTTTGCATATTCTCGCGGAAAGTCCTCGAGAATGCGGCCACAACTACTCAGATAATCGCCGAGGGCAGGCGGCCATGCGAATTTTGAGCAGGCGGGCAGCGGAAAAATAGTTCGTTGATTACCTGCGGTCCGCTTACAGAAATTTGGAATAATGTTGGCCGATTTTTAGACGAATGCTTGCAGAAGTACCGCGGTTTTTTTATAGATTAGTTGCGGCGCACTGGCCGCATTCTCGCGGACTTTCCGCGAGAATATGCAAAATTGTTGGGGGCTGCACGGTCCTTCGCGAAGGACCGCACTGCCCTGGGTACCTAGGGAAGGTACCCCAAACTTGGGTAGTCAAACCAACAATGACACCTCTGCTACACAGAGTCTCACCTTTGCTCGGCGTACGCCCGAAACTGCTAAAAAGAGTCCGAGCGCTTGCTGAAAGTGCCAGCGCTCGCTGAAAGAAATTATTTGCCGAGCGTTTGCAAAAAATGCTGTATTGTTGTCCGCTGGCGGAATATGCGACCGTAAAGGAAGTGCCGCCCACTGAAGGTTTGGCCACGAACCAAATTTCTGCTGACCCCTGCAGAAAAGCACGAGTTTGCGGACCGCCTGCCCCCGGCGATTATCTGAGTGATCTATAGGAAAACCGCGATTGTTCTCCGGACAATCGTCTAAAGACTGTTCAACATTCTTCTGAATTACTGCTGAAGGACCGCAAGAAATCAGCGAACTATTTTCCGGTGCCTGCTCGCCCAAAAATCGCGAGGCCGCCTGTCCTCTGCGGTTATCTGAAGGAGATCATCAGGGGTCAAACGAGAAGCTGGAAAATGCGGCTTGTACAACCTTTACATTCTCGCTCTAGTTCGATGGGTTGTGGGAACACTTGCAGCATGATAGACAGCGAGGAATCCAGATGTCCAAACTTCATAATATGAAGCTTTCTTCTGAAGCGCGTTCCCCTCCCCAGCAGGTTTGTCAATGCATGCGACCCTACGAGATGCATTAACATTTACGCTGGAGAGAGGAACGCAACTCAAACAAAGTTTGATATCCTTATCAGTGTTCTGGATATCTCGTGGTTCAAATATCCACAAATGTTCCTCCTAACAGTTACTATGAATAAACACGAAAAAAGCAAGGACTTGTACAAGCTACATTCTCTGGCTTTTTGTAATATCCCCACTGATCCCCGACAACCAATCGTTTTTCTCTCAAAAGTCATTTCTTTCTTCAAAATTAATTGAAACATTACTGTACTGCTCATCTATCCAACAATATCTAGCTTTTTTTGATAAGAACAAATGAGTTATTGAAAGTAATGCGATTTTCATTCTCAATATTCGACTTGTGATTCATCGCAATTTTCAGAGGAACGGAACGAAGGTCCTCTAACAGCCTGTACCGTAACCCCATGCGCGTATAACTACAAGGTCTTCAG